TTTCTTTTGACAAGTGGCTCCTGAATTGTGCCCAGCCAGACTGCAGCATATATGTTTTAGTTGGACACAATATCTTAATTTTATTTATTTATTTTTATGTGGTGCTGAGGATCAAACCCAGTGCCTCACATATACTAGGCAAGCCTTCTACCACTTCTACCACTTCTACAACCACAGCCCCCTTTTTTTTAACTTAACATAAAGAAATACCYATTTATGTATTTACTTGGACACTTTATTATATTGCCAGAATTGTTGAGTTTTTGTTTTTGTTTGCAGTGCTGGGGACTAAATCCAGGCCTTGGGCATGCTAGGCAAGTGCTCTACCACTGAGCTACATTACCTACCCCAAAATTGTTTAATTATTTTTCTATAATATTGCTGTAAAATATCTGGCCTATTTATTTTGTTTTATAAATCACTAATGCTATGAAAATCTTTATATAATTTTACTTTTTCACTTGTTGCCCCCACTTTTGGGGTATGTGCCAAGAGAAATTACATGTTGATACTAAAAGAGTTTTACAGTTTCTGCTAAATACTACAAGATTGATATTAGGCAAAAATTTGTATAACTTGCACTTAACAGATGACAATGTAAAATTCTGTCCTAACACAGTGGGRAAATGAAGGAGCAATATCACGTTAAACACAAAACAAAGAGCTGATGCCATGAAACCTGCCTATATTTCCAGCTACTCAGAGGTTGAGACAAGATGATGGATCACTTGAGCCCAGGAGTTCCAGCCCAGCCTGGGCAACATAGAGAGAATACCACTTAAAAAGGAAAAAAAAAAATAAAATAAAATCAATGGTGTAAAAAATTCTAACTTTTATTTTCTAGGCTCAAATTATCAACAAGTTTCCCAATGTCTCTTTTAACTTGAAGAAATGATAACATTCATCTATTATCTTTTCCTCCTGAAATCCCAGGAAAAATGAAAGTAAAGAAATAAGAAAGCAGAGAATAAGAATAAAGAGAACAGAAAACAGTAGGTGAACAATTCAACCAATTTCTCTTAAGTGTTAAGCTGTCAGAGGAATGATTAACTGACACAGTTGAGAGCCCTCTTCTCAGGCAGTCTGCAAAGGATTCCCATAAGAAGTAGTTAGATTTGTACTCTATGAAGAGGAACTGCAGAATAAGACACAAAGTAAGACCTAAGACTTGAACCATTAATTTAAAGTCTGTGGTCAGATTTTTCCAAGCCCCCAGAAGGCCTTCTCCCTTCYTCTCCTTCTGGAAGCTGAGATTCCAGATTCAGGAACAACGGGTTGAGGGTGCTAACATCTGTAATTCTAAGGAAAAATTATTTCTAAAGAACAATTCTATATGAAGTCAAACTGTTATTTAAGTGTGAAGATAGAACAGAGATTTTTCAAACAGCAGGGTCAGCTAAAATTTCTTTTCCATGCATACTCTTGGGAAGCTACTGGAAAATGATACACTACAGCAAATAAAGGAAGAGARGAGGAAAATACAAAACAACCAAAGAGAGGAAACTATGTGGGATCTAGGAAGCAAAGTAGACAATACAGGTGAAAAGATCAAAGGTASTGAAAAGACAAGAGTTATTGCAGCAGGTTGAGATGGAGACCAGTACTGACTGGAGAAGAATGACGGAGAGCTCCAAAAATGATGTGTTCAAGGGGGAAAAACAGAACTAATGTGTTTGAATAGCTGGACGATTTCACTGAGTGGTAATATGACAGATCAGTATTTGTAAAGTCCACTGATAGGCAGGAAAGAAAAAAGCTTTTACATTGTGTAAATAAATACAACCCTTTCCCTAAACCTGGCTACCAYTGCTCCATCAAGCATGAAGAGGGAGTCTTGAATTCTATTATTCTGGATATGACAGTTCCTTCACTAACTATACTTCATAACAGAAATGAAGGGTGAGCCCCAGAATTCCAGGTAAATGCTCTTGTACCCTTTACTGTAGCTACATTTCGA